AATCTGCTCCTCGTGGAAGAATATGAACATGAACATGTTAAAAAAAAGAAACGAAACGATTTTTGTTTAAATAAAAAAAAACAAATACTTTAACAGTTTGTCCAGCATGTTGTCGATCTTGTATAGCTAATAGTTAATGATTTAGCTTGATAATATTCTTCGATTTTTCTTCCAATTAATTGTGTAGATTGAAATAAATCATTTATTTATTCAGGATTTAATTGAGAAAATCGTTCAACACAACGAAATGGTGATACAACTACATCTATATGGAATTTTAAACAATATTAATAAATAAACAATTAAGATATAAAACTAACGTCCAAGTACAACCGGTTTTTTATTGACCCCAACCAATTTTTTCTTCATTTTTATCATCAATTGGTATTAAACATTTTTAGAAATGTTTTTTCTTTCCTAAAAAAAATTTTTCTAACCAATAATAGTTGTTGGTGACATTAATGTATATAAATCATGTCGACGATGTTGAATAAAAGACATTTTTTCTCTAACTTGTTCAATATATCGAAGATCAATATCAATTGTCCGAACTAATGGAGAATATAAATTCATATATAAAAGAACTCTTCCCCATCGATCAACAACCTATTTAGTAAATAATAAATAAATAAACAAACTAAAGAATATCCATAAGATTGACGTTTTCTATTCTGAGAAGCAACTTGAGCAGCAGCCACAAGAAAACATTGATTTTGAATTGCTCGAGCACGAACTAAAATCTATATTCAACATTTTTTAACTTCGTTTTATCAATATATTTTATTTAAAAAAAAATTTATTGAAAAATAAAAGAATATATTTTTATTATCTATTATAGATTATAAAAGATATTAAATACAAATGGATATTGAATCAATAAAACTTTTTTCTTTTTCAATTAATTAAATAAATTAACTTTAACTTTATATTGAGACTAATATATAGATTAGACCATAATTGAGAACACTTTTGACTCGTTAAATCTAACTCGATATTTATTTATTAAAGATTTTATTCGATTTATAATTAAATCTTTCACAATAATTATCAACGATAAAAACAAGCACATTTTTTTACAAATATTCGATCACTTATAATCATATTTA